GATTGTTTCACTCATAGGAGAGGGCTGATTCAGGGGGAATTAAAGCAGAGACATCATAAGAAGTGATTTCAGTGATGAGCCCAGGGAATCTGGCTAGTTTGGGTCCACATAGCCTATGAACATCTTATCCTATATCTCCCCCCTCATTCTCACTTCCAGCCCCTCTGAGCTTTTCAATTACCAAAGAGCTAGGCTGGAGGAAGGAAGGCAATTCACTCAGAGGCACAGAGCAGATCAGACCTCCATCTGGTACCAGAATAAACCATTTAGCTGGATGGGACCTGTTCTGCCTTCTCAAAAAATAGAAGACCACAAAACAAGCAACTGAAGACAGCAGCCAGTGATTCCTTGACTCTCTGCCCCCTGCAAGTAACTTCTGACCATGAAGGACAGACCAGGTGCCATTCAAATGTCAGGGTCTTGCCTGCCTTCTGCAGTTAGCAAACTACTAGCTGCAGTTTTTCTTGCACTTCTCTGAGCAGCGAAGCGCCCACTCCAAATACCTGCAGCTCAGCAGCTCCAACTTTTGGGGATATGGAAGTAAGCATTCCAATTACGGATCCAGATGTCACAGAACATCCTGTATCTCCTATCTAAGAAGCAAACTCTTATCCACAAACACCCTGCAACTTTGGGTGCTCCAATACCCAGATCTGCATCAGAACCGTAGGACTTGGAACCTCCTCTCATTCTGGGATCCATCAAGGTAATAGATTCATCCTCCTTACTCACCCTTCAAATGGGGAGAAACACATTTTCTCTGGCTTCAGGCCCAGACTGAGGACATTGATTCTGAAGGGAGGCTGCTGTTCCAAAGGGTTTTGAATAGAACAGTGGATGAATCCTTAGATATTAAGCCTCTATAACTGCAATTCTGTAACCACCAGGCCATGGAATGGAAAGCTACTTCCATCTATAACCACAAAGACTGAGATGACGCTGAAGCTGAGGCTGTAACTGTACTTTAAAACATGGACTCATCTGCTAGGACACATGGAAGTTTGGCTGAAATGCTTCACAACACTATTCACAAGCATAGTTCCAGAGAAAAAGCTGTGAAGGGATCTAGCTCAGGGTTAAACCCTGGTTCCCTGTGTTTTTGTGCAGAGTTTATAGGATACCTCCCCCATCATGAGTTCTCAGGTGCAGGATAGAGAAGGACAAACCATCACGGTCACAGGAAGGCAGGCATTTTCCTGCCTCTACACTCAGTCCAGCAGGGGAGGGAGATGCTATGGGGGATAGTGCAGGAGCATTAGGTTCAAGGAGAACCCACAACTACTCCCCACCTCTGTGGCCTCTTCCATGTTGTAGCAGTTCTTGGTTTAGATGGGTGTCTAGGGAAGGAGTCGGCAGCTTTTCTAGTTCTAGTGTCAACCAGCAGGAAACACTGCAGGACAGTAGTTCTCACTCCCTATTCTAGCAGCCACCTCCCACGACAGAAATTGTGTATAACAGCCCCCTCCCTAAAACCAGCTTCTTGGTTCCCCTGGAGTGTCTTCCCACTGATCCTCTATCAGATCTTAACCAGGGCTGCACGGACATGATGAAGGCAGCAGGCCTCTTGTGTGAAAGTTCACTTGTGATGGCAAAACTGGAATCTGTCTTGCACTATGTGGCAATGTTAGCCCTGTGGGAAGGCTGTGCGGTAGGTAAGCACAGGAGTGTTGGTTTGGGACATCTCTTGGGCAGACTGCATGTGGGGACCTATTAGTTATCCCTGGTTCCACACTGAGTACAGCAGCAGTAATGCAGCCTGCTCTTCCTCAGGGTACATGGGGCTGAGGAGGCACAATGGAGTATAATTCTTACTAATCTGGAGCAGCACCAGTGAACCTGGCCTGCTGTCTGCTCCAGCATTTTGTAAACTGCAGTTCGTAAATCACTGTTGTAAAGGAAAGCACAGAAGTGTGTGCCTGTGGGGGAGTCTGCTCTAGTGGCAGTCTCTTGCAGCAGGATGGCTCTAGGAAACAGGGCAGTGGCACCAGCTATGGATGGACTCCAGCTCCTCCCCTCTTGCGTACATGTCCGATGACAGCTGCCAGTTCTAGCTGCTCCTCTTTCCCTACTCGGAGATGCTAATAAAGCACTGATCCACACTGGGGCAAGCAGCTGGTCATTAATAATGCTCTTTGTCAGCAGAGCTGTCCCTGGGCTCCTTGTTTATTGACAAAGTGACTGTCCCCCTTGAACAGAGGCTGTCACATAGCAAGTGAGGCACCTCAGCTCCTTCCTGAGACAAATTACTCCAATTCCAGAGTGAAAATACAAGAGAATCACCTCCCTGCTGCTAATGAATCTCCCAGTGACAGGCTGCACGGAGGCCAGGAATGACCTGCAACTGAGAGGTGTCTGCCTTCCATGTCCTCCAAGAGGGGGAGGAATGGTGTGATTGGGCCAGGCATCTCTCGCCAGACAAGGTGCTGGCAGGAGAATTCATCAAAACACTTAAACTGCAAGGGGAGAGTCTACAAAGACAGAAAATGAGTGTGTGCAAACAGGGGTCCTGGAAAGATGGACCAGGAGGGCAGAGCAGGAGGACCAAGAATAGCACTTCTACATTTGGAAGGGAGTTGAGTATGAGAAGAGAGAGCTACTGGGAGCCTGTTGGCCCTAGGTTTGCAGCATGGGCATAATCCTCCAGGGCATGGACAGTGCAGTGGGGAGGAGCTGGAATGATATTACTTCACCCTGAGTACTGCCACATGGTAGTTCTGTCTTCTTATTCCCATCAACCCCACCTCTAAGGAAAAACCAATGGACCAACTGCCCAGCAACTCCCCAATCCAACGGAGGGAGTGCCTGTTGCTTCCTAAGCAACTGATTTACTTTCTCTGATTTGGCTCTACTTGCTTTCTTATCCTTATGCCCTAGTGATGTGCAGTGAGATGGTGCATCAGAGGGAGTCAGAAAATTCAGAAAGGCAATGGAGTCTATCCTCTGCTGTCCTCTACCCTCAGACTGCTGTGTAGGGCATAAGAGGAAGCCTCGGATAAGCGTGCCACAAGCATTTGTGTGTCCAGGTATGTGGGTGGTAGAGGTGGGTGTACCTCTGTGTGCCTGGTGTATGTACATGTGTGCCTATGTTTGTCCACACACTGTTCTTCAATTAATTGTGTCAAACTACAATTTCACAAGGTTTTTGTGAAATTCGTATCTCTGCTGGGTTTTTCCACCCCTACTAAGAATTGCAAGAAGGGTGGATAAAGCCTGGCAGAGGTGTGGGATCTGGCACAGAACAAGAAGATGCTGTGTATGGAGCTGGAATTTAACAAGAAGAAAATAGGATCTTGGCCTGAAGACTGACTTAGACATGGAGCATGAAGAATCCTGCAGTAGCCTGGTACTAAGCAGGGAGACGGATTTGATGACATAATAAGATGTCCTTTTTCATCTCTAAAATCTATAAACTGAAGTAAGGCTGTTCTTGGGGCTGACACCATGTTAAAGAGGAACTTCTTTCCAAAGGAAATGCTGCTGGGAACTAGCTGTGATGAAGCTGGTGGCAGCGGCTATGGGTTATATTCAGTGGCTGCAGGAGACAGATAAAAGGTCAACTCGAAATCTGAGATGACTCTATCAAACTAAAGCCTTCTTTGACAGCACAGGAGAAAAGTTTTCAGTGGGGAAGTAGCAATTCCTAGGGGGTAAAACACTCCTGTGTCCCTTCAAGTCTCTTACAATATTTGATCTGTTATCTTCATCTAGGACAGCAGTCAGCAACCTTCACAAGCTGCAGGCCAGAACAACCTACATGGCCAGGGGCTTTGGCAATGTGTCAGCATCAGGAGGTTTTACTTTGCACCCACAATGGGGCCAAACTAGGAACTGTGTCCATGCTGCCACTGCTTCTCTATGCACCTCTTTGCCCTGCCTGCCACAACCCCTTCATCCCCCAGCCTGCCAGCTATAGTGTAGGCACAGCTGGAAGCTACCTGGCTGTGCCACAGCTCCCCATAAGCTGGAAGCTGTATCCGTGCTGCAGCCTGGGGGAAGGGAGGAGGCAGACAGGGAGAAGCTTCCCGCTGCCCAGCCCCAGTGTGGGTGCAGGCAAAGCCCTCCAGCTCAGTGGGTTGGATTCAGTGGCACTGCAGGCTAGATCTGCGCCATGGGACCTGTGTTGCCAACCACTGATCTAACTACACATTCATTAATGAGCCATAGTTACAGCACATTAAGTTTTAGTACTTGGATAACCAAGTACTAAATCAATATGCAGTAATTTGCCCTACCGTGCAGTAGCACCAGTGCATGGGTTTTTAGTGATGCTTACTGTGCAATAGCGTATTAGGATGGGTTTTGCCCAGCATGTGACTGCACAGTGTTATTAAGCTACTCTGTAGTTAGCGTCTCATGTAGATGTGTCCACTAGGTCTGAGTCTCAATTCCATACAAAGTGTGTTGAAATGACTACACAGAGGGACTGCACGGTTGGCATAAACGGTTGACAGTCATTAGCCCTGCTCCCAGCCCCCAGCACAGAAGGTAAATCAGGAGTGAGTGTAGCCATTGGGCACAGTCTTATGGCTATTCTCTGTTTTTCAAGACCCTTCAGTGACTATAAAAAGCCAGGACTAAGTTCAACCAGCCCAGAAGG